CAGACCCGCAAACGGCTGTACCACTAATGAGGTACCCATAATAATTAACAGATCACATTTCGGGAAATCCTGAAATTCGGTTCAATATTCAATATATTACTGTTTGTACGATAATATTTCTAGACAATAAAATTGTGATGCAAATCGCTTCCACCATGTAGCGGGCGGTCAGATATTGATAAGCGTAATCATAAACCGCTACCTACGTGATCTTAATAATACGACGAGGATGATGACAACAACGATACGTTGTACATGGAAACGACTGCATAACGTAGAGAATTCCGTGGTTACTAATGATAATTATTTCAAAAAACGAATTACCGAGACAGCACATTTGAAGAATCGTTTCGGTAAATTTTCACCAAAGAAGACAATATCTGGTTTAACAATACCGTTGCATTTATCACATTTTGCTACCAATGTATTTTTATCGCTTATTTTATCTGCAATTCTTCCACGATTTCAAATAGTATGCATTCAAAAAATGATAGAATATTTGAATATGAATGTTTGTTTCATAGATCGCCATATACTACTAAAGAATTATTTCTCAAACTACCCTTTTTGACGAATTTCATAAAACTCACTAAAACCGAAGATGGCCACAAACATTTTCTTGCCGAAGGATCAATGTCAGAGGTGCTGACGTTTTTCGTCAGCGTGCCCATCACTGACTAAAACTAATAAAATTTCAACGAATATTTTTATGGCCAACCATTCATGACCCGTTTTTAATCAAGACTATTCAAACATCTAAAGCAAATAAAAGAAAAGGAATATATTATTCTGCTAAAACGAAATAAAAAGCGCTTAAATTAAAAAGAAGCGAACAAGTCAACAATTAAAACAAATATGTGAAAGAGGGTAAACAAATATCGCGAATGAATGTACCCGTGATCCACTTTAAGTCATACTTCTGACGACACTTCAAGCAAGTGCTTGTATGATGTGATCCATGAGCATACACCAACTTATCGCTGTTTATGTTCGCAACGTACTCCAACGAATCAATGTTCTAGAATTAATGCTATAGAATCGATGACTACCCATCGAATGCTAACAAATTTTGTCGCTAATAATGGATAATTAAATCGACTTTGAATTAAATGAAGCCATCGACTCATCCATTGCAGCATTCATACCGGCACGGTTAAAATCTCATCCCATAAAAGAGAAAATCAATTACAGATTAGAAAATGCGGAAGCTGAGACCGGCTTGAATACTTTGATGATATCAAATAATGATAGAACTGCAAAATGAAATCATAAACTAAACCTGAGTATAGCAACGCAGAAGCAATCCTTTTTCATCGAGCATACGAATAAAATAATGGCACGGTGTTGGCTGTAAGTAATCATCCAGTTGACATTAATCAGATCACAATTTTTAAAATTCGAAGTTAAAATAATAACTCATCCAATCATATGAGCAAATATGCATATTCCAATATCAACGTTGTGTTGCCTCCGTTACGGCTCAATTGTGTTAAGCGATGATAAGAGGATAAATCAAAAGAGGAGATTTTCAACAAAGGCACATAGCTAATGAACTGAGACGATAGAAAATTTTTGGTTGATACAAGGAACGGGTTTCACTCACTTTTAATGTTGTTGGGAATAGC